ATACAACTTCATCCATAATACGCAACCCGAAAATTGTGCTGAAAGTGTGGGAAAATGTCTCTACGCACACATAATACGCACCTCTTTTTTGCTAATCAAACCCTATAAATTATACCTCTCCAATTTCATTACAGCCAGCGTTCCATACTCTTATTCAAATTGTAATTGAAGATATTTATTCAAAATTTCCGATCATCATGATTCTAAAACGGAAACGGAAATATTATATTGTGCCTACTGCGCAGACGCATTAAACTGTTTATTTTCTATAAAATGTGCGATCTACTTGATCTGTATGTTGTTTTTCACAAAATTGTTTTAAACATAGAACAATATAATTCTAAATTAGTTTTAAGATAATTCTTATTTTATTTTACATTTGTGTGTATTGGTAGGTACATATGATTGTATTTGACATCCTTATGGAGTCGCAATCGCCGAATGTTAGTATCACAGTGTCGTATGTTTGTGGTGAGTAGTCATTTCGCAACTGAAATCGACCTATAAAACGGCAACTTTTTGAAGATTTTTTTATACGCACCCCTAATTTTGCTTATTGTTTTTTTTTTAGAAAAAATGCGTATTATACATGGGGGAATTACGCTAGGTCTAATGCTGCCAGGATCGTCTCACGGTAAAAGTTTTATGCTCGGTGAGTAGACTCACCCTTGTCCTACGCCATCTTTTTTTTTTACTTTGGTGTATTTACTATATTCATTTTTTACCTTCACCATTGCCATTCCATATTATGTACAGTCTATTTGACATAAGGAAATGCAACCGCTAACAAAATCAACGGGTGCATAGTAGATAAATATAGTGCCTTCAATTTCCACTCTTCAAAACATAAATATAATTACAAAATACGGGAGAAAAATACATTATTTACATTATTCAGACTATTGTCCTCATCTTTGTCACCATATTTATTATAACGTTTCGGCCGTTGTACGCTCCGGCCTTCTTCAGTGGAGAACTTTCAGAGGGAAATTAACAGGCGGTAACTGATAACTGACATCCATCAAACATGGCACCTGGAACTAGAACAGTCTACCCCAGTGAGCGAAATAAAGAGTTCAGTTCGACATTCCAACCATCTGAAGAAGTCCGGAGCGTACAATGTCCGAAACGTTGTAATAAATATGGCGAATAATGTAAATAATGTGCATAATACCTCATCTCAGAAATATAAACACTGGGGGAGAAAAATAGTTGAAATTTCTAGGGTGTACAATGAGGAAAGAGGGCTTCAAAAAGTTGATGCTAACAGGGCAGACTGAAGGTAAGAAAGAGAAAAACAACGCATAACGTAGCTCGTGAGATTGAGTAAATTTATGAAGAGACAAGACTTAGGCGAGATAATCAAAAGAAAATATTATTAAAAGCGATGTCATGAAATTGTGGAGAGCCATGATAACCAAAGACCTAAAAGGACATTGCACATTGTTGTGGCATACCTACGGACGACAATGAGTATATCCCTATTTACATAAATACAGTAGTAAATACTGTATGTTGGTCTGCAGTTGAAGATTCGTTTTCATCGGTGCTGGTCAAACTCTCGGCCTCCAGGCCGAGAGGATACCCAGACGATGCTATGTCGAAGGTCAGAGTCTTGTCTCGGGAAACAGGTACTCAACTCTGTCTTATACGGGGTCTACGGGGAATTTTTGGCCGAGCCTACTGGCTCGGATAAACCCACATTAAATTCGGCCTTGTGCCACATCTGACCGCGTTGGATGGGGGCTAGATATCCTCCAGTCGGAGATTCATTGTGGAATTCGCTCGGCTCAACTCTAGCAGTGGGCTACTTCTTCTACACGCCGCTGTTGAATCTTATATGTGTTGTTCTTGTCCTAAGTATTATCGTTCATTACCAACATTCATTTGATTATTCTATTTAGTAACCTTCTCTAGGTTACAACACACATAGAAGAAAAAGAAGAAGAAGAAGAAGAAGAAGAAGTGTTTTCTCAATCTTTATGTTTGTTTTGCAATTAATGTTTTCTGGAGCACCAGTAATCTATTAACTTGGCCTTTAGAAGACCCATTAAATAAATTTACATCGTAAGCTGACATGATCTTGTATGTGAGGTAAAAGGCTAGTCAAGAATACCCGTGAAATAAGGCAAGAATATTAAACCGGGAACAGTGTGGAGGCGGACGTCTGAAATAGTCAGCGCGTATGCTTGATCGGTGATAAAAATAAATACAATATGGAAGTAATTAATAAATTAAAAATAAGCTTAAACATCAGCAGCAGTTTGTTGATTTGTTTAGCGGCATATCAATCTCTTTGAGTTATTTAATGCCGAAATCTAAATATTTAGAACGCAACCTATTGCCAGTCATGTATCAAAAGAATCATCATTGCCAAAGCGACTGACTTCTAAACGGCATTTACGCAAATTCTCAAAATTTAAACTATGCTAAAAAGCTGAATTGTGTACGAATTTCCAGATTAGATCCATATCTTCCCCAAAACACATAATAACACAAAACAGCTTTCATCTTAACTGCTCGGACAGATGCTCTTACTTGTGTGGCTATCTTTACAACGTTCACATTTTTAAAAAAAAGATCATTTCACTCTAAGCAAGGACACTAGAATTCATGGAGTTACAGGGAGTGAAAAAGAATGAGAAGAATTTAGTGAGGAAAAGGACAACAAAGGAAAATGATTCTGGAAGACAGAAAATGGCAACCGAAGTTTGTTAAAGATTGTATTTTTCGGGAAGCAAGAAATCACAATGGAGTTCCACAGATACGAGAAAAGAAACTATTAAACCAGGAATCGGATAATTTTGCCATATAAGTGTCTTTATTCTCATTTACCAGCTTTTATCGAGTTCCAAAGCGTTTATGCCGTCAGGTAGTGAACAATTTTTATTCAAGTCTGCACCTTCGATACAAGACTATCTTTATTTCATTGGATAATACCCAGCTTTACTCCATTCAAACCTAGGAAGCCATGTTTGCATAAACGGAGTGAAATCAACCGTATATTTCTGTATTCCATCTGTGAGGAATAAGTTATACGCAGACAGATTTTTCCCAAGAATACCTATTCAATTCAAAGGTCTATCGTTTTATATCCTCATATTCTCGTAATTTTCATATCCGACTGCCTACTCGTATCTCCAGGGCACACCTAATTTAGTAACCCTCAACCTAGGGTGGGTCAGGAAACGTGTAGCGGGTGAATTGTAGTAAATATATGTATGTACTAATATGTAATGTTAAGTTATTTGTTCGGCCAAGAAGACCAATCCGAAGAAACAGATAGGTGTTTATATATCGTACTCATTGTATATGGGATTATCTGTTTAAACCATTGCAGAGGATTTATTACATTCTATAGATTTTTGTCTGTGGCAGGCAAGGACGTTTGATTCATGTATAAGATCGAAAGAGACTATTTTTTTTAGCTTTTTTCTATCTTTAATACAAGGATTTTCTTGCAAAATATGCCATATTCCTATCCAGTTACCGTGTAATACCTGGCACTTAAAATACATTCCTAATAAATTCCAATCCATTTACGACTGGATGACTTAAAATGTCTATTTGCTTAATAGTCTGAAAAGTAATTCAATTCCTTTTTTTTTAGATGTATTATGTCGTCTGCCGATGGAAGAAGCACAGTTAAAACATTTTGTATGTCATTTCTTTAAGGAGGACATTTTAAAAAAAAGTAATCTTAGAAAGAATGTCGCACTATTCGAAGTATAATCTCTAAACCAGTATCGAACTGCAGAGAACTTAATTTTCTTTTTTTATGATAAAGAAAAAAACATTTTAAGAAGTAGAAAATTATGTCTTGTTCAATTTCCGTCTCGTTAGCTATCATTTGAAAAGAGAAAATTGGACATTTGAAGAAAAAGTGGACGTGAATGTTTCTGTTTTTCTTTTTCTTTCTTTTTCAATTTTCCTTTTTTTTTCTCTTTTAAATTAGAAAAAAAAACGAAAAGGAAAAAAACTTCAAAAAATAGGGAGTTAAAAGTTAAGAAGAGAAAAGGTCTTTGAAGGAAAGTTCTGGAATAAGGAAAAATGTGAGAGATAAAACCACCCTGTTTAAGAAAGTAGGAATGAAAGAAATTTTATAAAATAAGGAAAAATGAAAGGTAAAGATAAAAATTACCTGTTAAGAAAACAAGAAATGAAAAAGAAAGAAAGAGTAAAAAGAAAGCAAGAAAGAAAGAATATAAAGAGGAGAAAATAAGGAAACAAGAAAAAGAAAAACGAAAGCAAAATGTTGAGAAAGAAAGAAAGAAAAAAAAAAAAAAGAAAGAAGGAAGGAAGGAAAGAAAGAAAGAAAGAAAAAGTAAAGAGAAAGAAATCTCAACAACAACGACAGAATATAAAGGAGAGTAAATAAGGAAGAAACTGAAAGATGAAAATAATCTGTTAAGAAAGAAAGAAAGAAAGAAAGAAAGAAAGAGTAAAATGAAATAAAGAATATTAAAGGGAGAAAATATGGAAAAAAAGGAAGTGAAAGATAAGCACCCGCTAAGAAAACAAGAAAGAAAGAAACAACAAAACAGAAAGAAAGAAAGAAAGAAAGAAATACAGAAAGAAAGAAAGAAAGAAAGAAAGAAAGAAAGAGTAAAATGAAATAAAGAATATAAGAGGGAGAAAATATGAAAAAAAAAGGAAGTGAAAGATAAGCACCCGCTAAGAAAACAAGAAAGAAAGAAAGAACAAAACAGAACGAACGAAAGAAAGAAAGAAAGAAAGAAAGAAAGAAAGAAAGAAAGCAAGAGTAAAATTAAAGAAAGAATTTAAAGGGGAGACAATGAGGAAAAAGAAATTGAAAGATAAGCAACAAAAAAGCAAGGAAACAAGAAAGAAAGAACGACATGGTAAAATGAAAGAATTAATATAAATGGTAGAAAAAAGGAAAAACAGAAAGTGAAAGACGAATGCAAAATGTTAAGAAAGAAAGAAAGAAAAAGAAAGGAAGAAAGAAAGAAAGAAAGAAAGAGTGTTTATTGCTATATCATGTTGAAACACCGGTTCCCATACGATCTTCGAAGTTATGCCACATTGATCATTGTCAGTACCTAGATGGATAACCAATTGGGAATACAAGGTACTGTAAGCATGGATGTGCGGGTGGTGTAAAGATAACGGTCTTGAATTGTCCCAATTCTTGTTGAGTTCGTTATATTCACTGACCCACAAATACCTTGAGAAAATGTATGGATTCACCTCTGCCTCCCCCAACTATGGGTTAATTATTAAGACATTCCGCACTAAAACATTATATAAAAAAATTCCGAGCGTCTAGAAATATTTTCTGTCTTTAAATAACTGGTGGATAATCAGTTGAAAGCGAATCAATCAATGAAACACTAAAAAAAAAAGAAAGAAAGAAATTCCATAAAATAAGGAAACACGAAAGGAAAAGATGGAAGTAAACTGGTCAGAAAAAAGAAAAAGTGTAAAAGAAATAAAGACTAACAAGAAAGAACAAAAAGAAAGAAAAGAAATAATAAAATGAGAGAAAAAAGTAAAAAGAGAGAAAGAACTGAAAAAAAAGAAAGAAAGAAAGACCGTGTAAAAAGAAAGAACGAAAAAGAAAGTAGAGCGAAAAAAAGAAAGCAAAAAAAGAAAGAAAGAAATAATAAAATGAGAAAAAAAAATAAAGAGAGAAAGAACTGAAAAAGAAAGAAAGAAAGAAAAACCGTGTAAAAAAGAAAGAACGAAAAGAAAGAGAAGAAAAAAAGTAATAAAAAAGAGAAAGAACTGAAAAAGAAAGAAAGAAAGACCGTGTAAAAAAAAAGAAAGAAAGAAAAAGACAAATGTGTAAAAGAAAAAGAACGAAAAGAAAGAAAGAGCAAAAAGAAAGAAAGAAATAATAAAATGAGAGAAAAAAAGTAATAAAGACAGAAAGACAAGTGTAAAAAAAAAGAAAAGAAAGAAAGAAAGACCAAAAAGAAAGAACGAAAGAAAGAAAGAGCAAAAAGAAAGAAAGAAATAATAAAATGAGAGAAAAAAGTAATAAAGACAGAAAGAACTGAAAAAAGAAAGAAAGAAAGAAAGACCGTGTAAAAAGAAAGAAAGAAAGAAAGACCGTGTAAAAAGAAAGAACGAAAGAAAGTAGAGCGAAAGAAAGAAAGAGCAAAAAGAAAGAAAGAAATAATAAAATGAGAGAAAAAAGTAATAAAGACAGAAAGAACTGAAAAAAGAAAGAAAGAAAGAAAGAAAGACCGTGTAAAAAGAAAGAACGAAAGAAAGAAAGAATGAAAGAAAGAAAGAGCAAAAAAAGAAAGAAAGAAATAATAAAATGAGAGAAAAAATTAATAAAGAGAGAAAGAACTGAAAAAAAAAGAAAGAAAGAAAGACCGTGTAAAAAAAAAGAAAGAAAAGACCGTGTAAAAGAAAGAACGAAAGAAATAGAAAAAGAAAGAAAGAGCAAAAAAAAGAAAGAAATAATAAAATGAGAGAAAAAAGACATAAAGACAGAAAAACTGAAAAAGAAAGAAAAAGAAAGAAAGACCGTAAAAAAAAAAAAGAAAGAAAGAAAGAAAGAAAAACCGAAAAAAAGAAAGAACGAAAGAAAGAAAGAGCAAAAAAAAAGAAAGAAATAATAAAATGAGAGAAAAAAATAATAAAGACAGAAAGAACTGAAAAAAGAAAGAAAGAAAGAAAGACAAAAAAAAAGAAAAAAAAAAGAAAAGAAAGAAAAGACCGTAAAAAAAAAAGAACGAAAGAAAAAGAGCAAAAAGAAAGAAAGAAATAATAAAATGAGAGAAAAAAGTAATAAAGAGAGAAAGAACTGAAAAAAGAAAGAAAGAAAGAAAGACCGTGTAAAAAGAAAGAACGAAAGAAAGTAGAGCGAAAGAAAGAAAGAGCAAAAAGAAAGAAAGAAATAATAAAATGAGAGAAAAAAGTAATAAAGAGAGAAAGAACTGAAAAAAAAAAGAAAGAAAAAGAAAGAAAAAAAAAGAACGAAAAAAAGTAAAGCGAAAAGAAAGAAAGAGCAAAAAGAAAGAAAGAAATAATAAAATGAGAGAAAAAAAGTAATAAAGAGAGAAAGAACTGAAAAAGAAAGAAAGAAAGACCGTAAAAAAGAAAGAAAGAAAAAAAAGACCGTAAAAAGAAAAAGAACGAAAGAAAGAAAAGAGCAAAAGAAAGAAAAAAAATAATAAAATGAGAGAAAAAAAGTAAAAAGACAGAAAGACCGTGTAAAAGAAAGAAAGAAAGAAAGAAAGACCGTGTAAAAAGAAAGAACGAAAGAAAGAAAGAGCAAAAAGAAAGAAAGAAATAATAAAATGAGAGAAAAAAGTAATAAAGACAGAAAGAACTGAAAAAAGAAAGAAAGAAAGAAAGACTGAAAAAGAAAGAAAAAGAAAAGAAAAGACCGTGTAAAAAGAAAGAACGAAAGAAAGTAGAAGAAAAAAGAAAAAAGAAAGAAAAAAGAAAAAAAATGAAAAAAGTAATAAAACAGAACTGAAAAAAAAAGAAAAAAGAAAGACAGAAAAAAAGAAAAAAAAAAGAAGAAAAAGAAAAGAAAAAAAAAGAAAGTGAGAGAAAAAGAAAGAAAAGAAAGAAAAAAAAAAAGAAAAAAAAAAGAAAGAAAAAAATAATAAAATGAGAAAAAAATTAATAAAGAGAGAAAAGAACTGAAAAAAGAAAGAAAGAAAAGAAAACCAAGTGTAAAAAGAAAGAAAGACCGTGTAAAAAGAAAGAACGAAAGAAATAGAGCGAAAGAAAGAAAGAGCAAAAAGAAAGAAAGAAATAATAAAATGAGAGAAAAAAGTAATAAAGACAGAAAGAACTGAAAAAAGAAAGAAAGAAAGAAAGACCGTGTAAAAAGAAAGAAAGACCAAAAAAGAAAAGAACGAAAGAAAGAGAGCGAAAAAAGAAAGAGCAAAAAAAAGAAAGAAAGAAATAATAAAATGAGAGAAAAAAGTAATAAAGACAGAAAGAACTGAAAAAAGAAAGAAAGAAAGAAAGACCGTGTAAAAAGAAAGAAAGAAAGAAAGAAAGAAAGACCGTGTAAAAAGAAAGAACGAAAGAAAGAAAGAGCAAAAAGAAAGAAAGAAATAATAAAATGAGAGAAAAAAGTAATAAAGACAGAAAGAACTGAAAAAGAAAAGAAAGAAAGAAAAGACAAATGTAAAAAAAAGAAAGAAAGAAAGAAAGAAAGACCGTAAAAAAAAAGAACGAAAGAAAGAGCAAAAAAAAAAAGAAAGAAAATAATAAAATGAGAGAAAAAAATAATAAAACAGAAAGAACTGAAAAAGAAAGAAAGAAAGAAAGAAAGAAAAAGAAAGAAAGAAAGAAAGAAAGAAAGACTGTGTAAAAAAAGAAAGAAAGAAAGAAAGAAAGAAAAAGAAAGAAATAATAAAATGAGAGAAAAAAGTAATAAAGACAAAAGAACTGAAAAAAGAAAGAAAGAAAGAAAGACCGTATAAAAAAAGAAAAGAAAAAAGAAAAAGAAAGAACGAAAGAAAAGTAGAAAGAAAGAAAGAGAAAAAAAGAAAGAAAGAAATAATAAAATGAGAAAAGACAAAAGAAAAAAAAAAGAAAGAAAGAAAGAAAGAAAAAAAGAAAAAAAAGAAAGAAAGAACGAAAAGAAAGAAAGAGCAAAAAAAAGAAAGAAATAATAAAATGAAAGAAAAAAAAGTAATAAAAGAGAGAAAGAACTGAAAAAAAAAAAAGAAAGAAAGAAAGACAAATGTAAAAAAAAGAAAAAAAGAAAAGACCGTGTAAAAAGAAAGAAAGAAAGAAAGTAGAGCGAAAGAAAGAAAGAGCAAAAAGAAAAGAAAATAGAAAAAAGTAAAAAGAAAGAAATAATATAAGGTGAAGAAAATCTGTTATAAAATAAAGAAAATAAAAAATGAAATATACTGTTAATAAAGAAAGAAGAAAAAGAAAAAAAGAAAGAAAGAAAAAAGAAAGAAAGAAAAAAGTGTATGGTTGTAAAAATTGTGGGTATGAAATTAAAACTAGACAAATCAAGAAAGAGAAAAGAAGAAAATGTTTGTTTCCATTTCCTTTATGATTTCTTCGTTGCTTATGTGATCCGTCCATGGAATACCCAGCATCCTTCTGTAGAAATGCATATCTGTTGCTTCCAGTTATATATTCATCTGGAAGAAGATTGCCTTTCACTACTCTCATACAGAATGATAGATATTCGTCGGTAGAACTGCTGTTGAGTAGTCCTCAGTTTACTTCCTGTTCTTCCTCATACTGTGACAATGGACTACTCATACTTATAAATATGGCAAGTAGCTACGTTAGAGTAGGATTTGAAGAGTAGTGAGAGTTCTCTTTCCATATACCAGCTTGACCAGTTCTTAGCGTTTGACTTTATTTTTGCTGCTCCAATTTTGGATTTTTTTTTTTGTTTTGTTTTTAACACTGACGTTTGATTTTTTAAAATTTAATTTTCTTTTGCTGATTTTTCCTGACTAAAGTTTTGAATTTTCCCTTTCGGTTTTCTTTTTTTTACTCTCCCCCAATTCTTATTTTTATCCTTGATGATTTCTACCTCTTAGGCCTATTTATTTACTATATCTTTTTTACTTATATTGAACTTATTTATTTTTTTGGTTTATTTTGTATTCCTTGCCTGACTTTAACTACAGAGTATCCTTTTTATAACTTTTGTTTATCGTTGTCTATTTTTACGTGTTAACACATCCTAAGTAAATTGTGTTTTATTTTCCTGTCTATCTTTCCATTGTAGTTATTTATTTTTCTTAGCAAGACTTTTTTTGTGTAACGTTGGCTATTTTGGTTTAAATCGTAAGATTTATTATTTTTACGTATTTTGTCTCCTGTTTTTTTTTTTGTTTTGTACTTAAAAAAAGACCTTTTTATAGAATTATATATTACATATTTCGTTTCTTTTTTCATCAGTTTTACATTATGTAATTTTTATGTTTGCGTTTTCTTCCTTTTAAGTAAACTGTTTATGCATGTCCAATTTTTTTTTGTTTGTTTGAACCAAATTTTTGTCATTTTTCTCGTTAAATTTCTTATTTCTTTCCTCATTTTGAAAAAGGAATTTTATGTTTTGATTACTGTATCTAATTTTTTTATTTTGAATTTAGCATTTCTCCTCCATTGTAAGTTTGTTTAGTTT